CCTAGAAATGCTTCCCTGTGTTTGTAAAAGTGGTGTGGATGTGTGGATGGTTGGAATGTGGCTGCCAAAGACGGCGCAGAAAACAAAGACTGTCTGTTAGAAGTAGCTCTAACTAGGCTTCTTAAATTGTTTAACTAGTCTGCTTAAATAATTTAGATCTAAGTAAGTATAAATTATTTAGACTGATGTGGTGTTTTGAAACATCATGCATGGTCAGCCCTTAGAAGAAAGAGCAAGGTGTAAAAATTCCTGAGGCAGGGTTCGATGGCAGATTTTACTGAACTGGTCCAGGCTACTTCTACTCCAGCACCAGTGAAAAATAAGAGCAGTTTAAGCCCACATAAGTTCACTGTTTTTCCTAGCAGGAACAGACCTCCTGCATCCTGAGCTGAGCATCTCTGAACATCAGCAGGGCTGGCCACAGAATAACACATCACAGAGTTTTAAAAGCACATCCTGGACCAATATTTGAGTATTCTTTCAGCAGTGTTCAGAAGAAGAGTTTGACAAAAAAAAACACTTTTCTGAAAGAATCTCACCAAGCCCATAGAAAAAGCAACACTGTCTTTGCAAGGTAGATATCTGAGACAATTATTTCAATAACAAAGCAGCTGAAACTGCAATGAACAGGTCTTCATTTAAATATTGCCCTATTAACTAAATATTAGCTATTTATTATTATAAAGCAGTAGATAACACTAAGGTCTGAAAAGATATCAAATCTGCAATTACTTAATTTGGATTCCTTTTCAAAGCTAAGAAACACAAAGAACTTAGTCTTAAATGTAAGAAGGTAAATGTGTACTTCAGCAGAATGAGTTTGAGCTCACCTCTGTGTTTTCCCTTAAGTAAAAAGGGAAGATGCATTGATGGGGAACCACTATAAAGACCTCAATTTGCACCTGAATTATTTTATTCTTATACAATTATTTATTGCAGAATGGTACAAAGTTTCATTACTTGTGGACACTATAGATGGAAATAATATATATACACACACATGACCACACTGGTGTTAAGTAATTCTTTATGTGACATTAGCCCATTGCTTTCCCTACTATGTCAGCAAACAAGTTCATAGACTTGAAATATGCATTTTAGTGCGTATTTTTAAGGTAGTACAAATATGAGATTACCTGAATAGTTTAGAAAGTTCAAGAAGTTGGAAAGTAAATAAGTCATTTCAGAGACAGTGACTCCTCTGTGTCAAAAGAAAATGTGGAAAATATAAGGGATGTATTCCATAATGAAAAAAAAATATTTGTAGAGACACAGATTATGAAGACAGCTGAAAGTTCATTTTTTATGCCTGTTGATGAATACATTTTACAGAATCACAAGAAATAAATGAATTTTCATTTCATTTTGAAATGAAAAATTTCAACCCCTAACCAACTGCATGCACTGTCAAATATTTAATCAAAAGTCCACCTAGACCCCAAGAAGCATATGGTCTCTAATTTTATCATCTGTTTTCCTTTTCTTGAATGTTGGTGAGTTATTGAGAATCTGCTGCAGTATTTTGTAAAAGTAAAATGCCCACAATGAATACATTATTACTTATATGTGGGGGAAAAGAACCAGTGGCACTGGGTACTTAGCCCTTTTGAACTTGAAAGAATGCAAACCAAGAAAATATAGCTCATCTATCAGACAGCATAAAATCTGAGTACAAGTAGAATATGTTTGAATTCAGTAACAGAAAGTGGATGCATGAAGTAAAAGTGAAATTATTATGATCAGACTAGTTTGCAGCAGTCACAGCATATGAGTTACAGAACAAGGATTTTTTTTTTATGGACATCATGGCAAAGATGATTTTATGAAGTGATGCAGGAAGCAGACTGTCCTTGCTTTGAGGATAATTTTAACTCAAGCAGACTTACTTAGCTTCATCGTCATGCAGAGAATTAGGAATATCTAGCTCAGATTTTCTAGAGTGCAGGGCTCTGCTACACGGTCAAATCTGAGAAATCCTTCTTTCCTTTCCCACTAGAGTGGAATCCCTGGCCTGTGAACTCGTGGGGCTGGGAGAATGTTTGTGTGAATATCACTAACTGCACATCCAGCTCTTCTCGGGGTGGTTGGTGTCACCCACTGCTGTGTCTCTGCTTTTGGGGGCAGCACACTGCCAGGTCAGTGAGCAAAGGGGATAGTAACAAGCTTTTAGTCCATCTCCCAGTGCAATATAATGTCCATTTAAATCAACTTAATAGAAAATCAATTCAAGGTGAAGACCTCAAGATGAAAACATCTGATAATAAACTGTTAGGATAAGATACTGCAGTTGATCATAGCTGGACCTCAGCCTGAAGTCTGTCTGTAGGAGGGTTAACACCATTTTTTGAGGCAAGCAATCAGAAGCTGGAGCTTTGTATGTAACGCTTCCTTTTTCAAAAACTCTGAATTCTGCTTCAAGACTGGATCTTAATCTTTAGCCTATATAAGCATATGGAAATCTGTTAAATGCCTAAACAGATAGTGAAGGTTCTCAAATCTAAAGCCCTAAAATATCTCTAGATTGCTTTCTTCTTTTACATATGTAGTTTTCTTCCAGAGCTCTGTTTCATAATTGTTTCCAGATTATAAAAGCATGAGCTGGAGTTAAAAAATGTGGTTATTCCACCACTTCCAGGTCAGCACACACAGCATGTATATCTCCTTTGTGCTGCTTACAAGTATTCCTGGCTCTCTGATCTCCATTCCTTGATCTTGCCCACTGTGCCTCAGAGATGCACCAGGGGAGCTCCACAATCACTTTGTCAGAGAGGACTTCAAGTATTGGCATTGAAGAAACACCTGCCAGTGCCTGCAGAAAGGCAGTGGGAAACGTAACTCTCCCAGTGAGTCTTTAATATAATTTATTTAAGTTTTGGGAAGGAATTGGAGAAGAAAGTTATTAGGAAGACATTTCAGTGGGAATGGGGAAGTTGTTCTGATGAACAAATCAGGGAAAAAACAAATCTATGGTAATGCAGTTGATGCTTCAGAAGCTGAGAATGACTAGCAAGAAAGGATGATTTTGTGGTTAAAGCACCGATGTCTGACTGAGGAAATCTGAGTTCATTTCCTGGCTTTGCTATCTCTTCAGCTCTGAGCAAGAGATTTAATCTCCCTACTTGCCTTTTTTTTCTTCTTCCTGTAGCAGAGGAGAGTCATTATACTTCAGATTGTTCTAAGAACAAATGCATTAGTGTGGCCGGTACATTCAAGTTTAAGCAAAACAAACAAACAAACAAACAAACAAAACCACCACAAAAACATAAAAGCTTCAGTTCTCGTTCCCTCTTATTTTAAAAAGGCCTTTCTGCTGCCTATGGGGCAAATGTACAAAGTCTTCACACCCTGTGTCTAGAAAGATGAGGAGGCACTTCTAGTGCCTGGGCTGACATCTGGGCACACCCAGCTTCTAGTCAAGAAGATGAACAAGAGGTCTAGTCAAGAGGTGAGCAAGGCTTATCAACTACAGGGTGTCGGTTTTATTCCTACACAAACATAGCCTGAGGCGCAGCTTCCTCCCTCTGGGAGGCTTGATGAAGCAGGCAGGCAAAAGCTTAGAAAATTGGCTATTAAAACTTTCAAGAGAAAAGAAACTTTTAACACCTGATGTTGAAGCATGGCAGTATGAGATGGTGAAATGCTATGACAACACAAAGGTGAAGGCCCCAAAGCAGGATTGATGCAGAAACACAAGTCCCAAGGCAGAGCATTTGAGGTGTGAGTAATGACTCAGTGATCCACCTCACTGGCAAGGAACTTCCTGAACCTTCTGTCGGTGCCTTCTAATTCCTAGCACAGGCAGAAAATTTGAAGAAATTAAACTCTCAATTAATTCTGTGAGCACTGGAATGGAGAATGCCTGGTCTGTGGTGATTGAGTGCAAGAGTCCTTCAGGATTTTTGTATAGCTGGGTCACCAGCTTTCGCCTTCGAGTGTGCTCTGTTGTAGTGTGGGCAGCGGGACCAAGGCAGGGATCATCCCAATCCCTGTGCTGGGCACTGCTTGGGCTGCACCTCGAGTGCCGTCTTCAGTTCTGGGTCCCCACTTTACAAAGGACATTGAGGGGCTGGAGTGTGACCAGAGACGGGCAACAAGGCTTGTGAAAGGTTTAAAAATATTTCTTGTGAGGAACAGCTGTGGGAGCTGGGGTTGTTTAGTCTTGAAGAGGCTTGGGGTGGGGGACATCATCGCATCATCGCCCTCTGCAAGTCACTGAAAGCAGGTTGTAGTGAGGTGGGGCCGGTCTCTTTGCCATGTCTGCAGAGAGAACAGGAGGAAATGACCTTAAACAGGAGAGATTCAGATTAAATACCAGAAGACGATTTTTTCACTGTTTGGGTGGTGGCACTGGAGTAGGTTGCACCAAGAGGTGATATGGCCACCGTCCCTGGAGGCGTTTGTCATCGGGTTCTGGCGCTGGGCGATGCTTCAAGGGTTACAGTGGCAGTGCTGGGCGGATGGCTGCACTGGGTGATCTTAAAGGTCTCTTCCACCTCTGACGATGCTATGCTTCTACCCTTCCACGCCTCAGGGCCGGGACACCCGCAGGCGCATTCCTGCAAAGCTTTTAATTCCCATTTGCCCTTGGTTCTGCCAGCGAGCTCGACATTGCTGAGGCAGGCTGGCAGAGGCGGCCCGCGGGCCTTGCCCTCCCGGTAGCAGCGTCACACGGCCGGGCTGCGGCGGCCGCGCTGGGCCAGGCGCCCGGTGGCTCCCGGGCCACGGCGGAGGGGACGATGGGGGCGGTGAAGGAGATGCGGCAATGGGGGACACGGGTGCGGGGGAACACGGGTGCGATGGGGGAGCTGCGGCAATGGGGGAGGTGGCGGGCATGGGTGAGGGGGGACACGGGTGCGATGGGTGCGAAGATGAAGATGCGGCGACACGTCCCGGCCGCGGCGCCGCCATGGGCAGGGCGGGGCGGCCGCGCTGACGTCAGGGCGGGCCGAGGGGCGCGGGGCGGCTGCGTGTTCCCGCCCTCCGCCCCTCCCTGCGCGGGCCGGCCGGCGGGACCCGAGGGCGCGGAGCGGCCCTGCCCCGGCAGGCGACAGCGGCCCGTACCGTCCGGCGGTGAGTGTGGGGCGGCCGCGCCGCCACCCCCGCGCCGCCCCCCGCCCCTCATCGGGGCTCTTTGCCTGCGGGGAGCGGCCGCTGCCCTCCTCCCAGCGCCGCCGCCCTGCGCCGGGGCGGGGGTCGCCGCTCGGCCGGGGATGCTGCGGCAGCGGGGGCCGCGCGGGCCGCGGGAGGCCGGGGGCGGGCGGGCGGGGCGGCCTCCTGCACGGCCCCGGCGGGTGCAGCGCTCACCTCCGGGCCGGCTGAATGTCACGGGCGAGCCGCCCGCCGTGCTGCGGGCTCGGGGGCAGCCTGGCACGGCGGGCCCGGCGCAGGGAGCGCCCCGGTGCCGGCTCTGCGGTGGTTTGTGCGCCCTGTAATTCGGTGTTCGGGGAGACTCGGGTGCCTTGGGAGCAGCTGCTGCGAGCCCCGGTCACAGAGGTCTTGTAGCGTGAGGTTTCGTATCTCGAGGGTTTTAATCTCCGAAAAGGGGAAGAAGCAAAAGCACCCAGTGTGTGTTCAAAGACAACAGTTTAAAAAAAAAAAAATAGTAACGGTGGAAAAGAATGATAATGGTGGCATATCTACTTTAGCAGTGATTTGTTGAGATTTTTACCAAGGGGATGTTCTGTACGTCGTGGTGATTTCGCTTTAATGACACTGAGACTTTGCTTTCGTCACCCAGAGCCTGATGTTCACTTCGCGTTCTGTCAAATGTACTTTGGCACACAATGAAACGTAGGCAACCTCAGCCTTTAACTTTGAGCTGGAGGAGGTCGAGCTGTTTATCTTCAGCTTAAGAAAGCAAAACTGCATGGGAACTTTATGCTGTGGCAGAGCGTTAGTGTCCAGGCCAAACATCAAATTAAGGTAAGTATTGTCTCTATCTGGTACTCAATCTGGTATGTTGTGTAAAGATGTAAAGCACTTTTCAGGGGAATTGGTGCATCATGCAGGGTTAGAAGTTCATTTCTGTGGCAGGTTTGTTGGTGTCTGTGGGCTTTGAGCCTTGATTTGGTGCAGAATAGACTTTTTTGTTAAGAAGGTGTCAAAAGTGAAATGAAGTTGAATCTTAAGTTCTCATTTTGTTACATTTTTATAATTGAGAGCCACTTCACATATTTACCTAGACTTTACTGAATTTCTCTTTTATGGAGACACAAAACTCTTGGGTTAGCCTGAGGCAGTAAATATTTATGTTGTTTGCTGATAACGAATGGAATTGGCAAGATTTTTTCTCATGTATGTAATGATCACGTACCTCTAAATTCTATGGGTCCATTTTGAATTACATGCCTCCAAACTGAAGAGGTGATGGCCTAACAAATGAGACATGAGTAGCAACCAGCTACCTAAATGTCAGCCAAGGGTCTATGTTGATATACAACTTAGAGTAGGAAAGTTGCTTTTGAAGTTGAGATTTAATTTCTGCTCATGGATAGTGTTTTTCGTTATAAAAATATCAATATTTGGGTTCCAAAAACTGCCCAGTATTGTCATTTAACTGTAAAGCTGTTGAAACTGTAGAAATAGTTTCAATTAACATAATGATCTCATTTAATGTATTGTTATACTAATGAGTAATCCTGTTTAGTGGAACTGTTCGTGTAAAAGCTCATTGGAGTAAAATCCATTACTTTTGGACCTGATCATCCTTTAAGAGGGATTGGTTATTTGGAATAAACCAGTTAGTAGGAAATGTTGGCATGGGCTCTTTAGGTAAAAAGCCGTCATGCCATCAATACTGAGATGAACATTGCTTGCCTGGAATCTTTAGAAAGTGTGGATCTCTAAAAATGGAGAAGAGATGAAGGAATATAAGATTACAGAAAGTAATATGATGAAATATATCAACAGTGGTTGTGGTGTTCTCTTTTAGCCAGTATTCACTGTAAACAGCAGCACCATCTTAATTAGAAGCTTTCAGCAGGGTTAAGTCCCATGCCAACAGGGATGCTAAGAAGATCAAAATACTAATGGTGCTTTTGATAATTAGGTTGAAAATCCTGTATTGTGTTTCAGTTGGAGCAATAAAAACAGATTATGTAAATCTCTGGATACCTGCACACATGTATGTTACAGTAAAATCCCAACAGCGTTAAATTGTTGTTCCAAAGTTTAAATTTGGTCTTTGCAGTTCTTCATAGCTTTTGGAAACACTCTCCAGCTCACTCTTAAACTGCTACCAAGTAGGTGCATGTTGGAAGATATTCTGAGAATGTTGTTTCCTCCTTTATCAAAAGTAGCTGGATTTGCAGAGATCTGGACTTTGCTCAGTAGTCATTCTCTGTTCTAAAAGGAGGATTCAGCTGCAGCAGTTCTGCTGACAATATCCCATAGGAATTGAAGAAAGTCTCCTCAGGGTGGAGGTTTTTGCTTATCCCTGGTCACATGGGGAACTGGTGTCGCAAGTTCTTGCTAAAATGCCTGTTTCACTGCAGATTGTTGGGTTTTTCATGAGCACTTAGTCTGGGCTGAGTTGAGGTCCTGCTCTGCAGAGTGCATTTTAATGGCCTTTATTGAAGAAATACTGGCAATGTCCTCACTGCAAGGAGGCTTGGCTTCTTAGCTAGAGGAAATGGGTGATAAGAATTTACTTAGATGAGGTGGCTGAACAATTTATGGATCAGGAATAACCCTTAAATTGTAAATAATTTCTGCAATTATTCCCTGAAGCCTAAGAAGTTCTGTGCTTTTAGGCTAATCAGCCCAGATGGCTTGTGACACACACACAGCACAAGGGAAGCATCCAGGGAGAACTGAATGTCCCAGCTTCTCTTGACTCAATAATATATCTGCTTTAGGCTGGAGACTGAAAAATCTCCTCTTCTGGATGGATGCAGAGTTTATCACTACAATGTGGATTTGGATGATAATTCAATTCACACTCTTTTTTGTAAATTGTTTTAAATGCTGCCTTTACCTAAATGCTATTTTTTTTCTGATCTTACATGTTAAAATTACTACATAACCATGTTGTTATATATTTTTGATGAGTTCAGGGATGCTGTGGCTTTTGAGTAATCTTCATCTCAGGCAAACTTGCATAGGCAGAAACTTGACAAGATCCAGGCTGCTGCTGTCAGTAGCAGGAGACTTGAGGAGAGGAGCACAATCTGTCAACCTGCGTAGCCTTGTCGATCAGTAAACAGAGTTAAAAGCAGAAAAAAATAATTTTCTGTGTAAGTCTTTTAATCATGAAAGCTTTCTGAAATGGTAATTTGGATAACTATAGCTTTACTATGATTACATTGAGATCCTGATTAAACAAAACAAACAATATGTATCACCTTCCTGTAAATTTGAATAAAATACAACATAGATGAGTAACTCTGAAACTGATCCTGTGACAAATTGTCACTTGTAACTGAAGTTACATCTCAGTTTCTCTGAGAATCTTTTTTTTTTTTTTTTTTGTGCCTTCCGTTGCAAACCTCTGAGGACATAACAAATATCTGAGTCTTTCACATTGTTGGAAACTGACCTTGAGAAGTACATTCCAGTATAGCTGTTGGTGTATCAGAAAGCTGGTAGAAAAACACAGAACACACATAAAAATACTGGAGGCTGTCAGTCTGTTGTCAGAAACATATCGGTATTTGTTATGCTGTGGCAAACTCACAAAGTTGTTTGGTATGCAGCATTTTCAGGGAGTATGGTGTTGAACTGGGAACTGATTTATATCAGTGGAATTGTAGACAGAAGCTGTATTGAGTCCAGGACTAAGGAAATTAAACTCAATAGCAAGAAAATTATACTTTAAAGATGTTGTTTACAAATGAGCAAGTTTCAGCTGAATGCTGAAAGTGTGGATGTTAAAGAGAAGTCAAACTTCAAATAATACACACAATTACGTACAGTACAGTATCTTCGTGAAAGCACATAGATGTGAAACAAACTGGTGTGTTTGGTAGCAAGGAGAATAGGTATCGGTGGCCTCTTCTGGCAATGTAGGGAGTTTAGAAGTAGTTTTAGTAGTTTTCCTTGGGAATCTGTGCAAGACAGTGAAATAAACTTGACAGAATCGTTATTGGGGTTCTGGAGCTCCTTGCTTAAGGCAGTGAAGGATGCAAGAAGTTTGGAGGTTCAAGGACAGGTTACAAAAAATAGTGGACAAGATCTGTGGAGGGCTCCTAAACAAACTGCATCAGATTTAAGAAATTCCAAGACGTGAGAGTGGTTGAAGGTTGAGGAAGTCACATTCTGTGTTTGCCCTGATCATCCCTTCCTTGATGCATTTTTATTTTAAGGCAACCACAGGAACTAATGGGATTTTTATACTCCTCACCTCTAAAAGAAAATTGACTGGCGGCACTGTATGGAGAATTGAACTGGGCATGGAGCTGCCATGATCCATGCACAGTGAAATACCATGATTTATATAATATTTCCAGCTTATCCAGGATTCACTGTCTGTCTTTCATGATAGCAGTGTTAAAGATTTTCTTTGTCAGTCCTTTTTCTAGTATTTTTTTAACCCAGCAGTGGCTGACTTAGCAATTTGTTTTTTAGATACGTAGCAATGTGCTGACATGTTCTTGTTCTCGAGATCACAATTGGCTGTGAAAAACTGAATTATGCTGAAATAGCATTGGCAATATATAGAAAAGAAAATCTCAGAACTATTGTTTTCTATCTTCTTACTGCTTCATCTTGTCTAATCTTGCTCAGTTATCAAATGTGAACCTCTTCAGGCTTATTGAAGATATCCTGGTACTGGTGAGTCTATGAATTACATGCAGTCTCTTCCAATTACCTCTGCTTGCCATTCAGCTTAACCTATAACTAGAATTGTTACTCAGGCAGCAGGAGAAAGAAAGAAAGAATGAGTGTATGTGGCTGGAGGGGGGAAAAGAAAAGCAACTTAGATATTGGTTGAAAGCATAGCCTCATTGAAGAGTTAAACCCATGGAAATTCTTAATCTTAAGATGCCCACTTAGATAAATTGTTCAGCAGCAGTTCAAACAGGAAGTATTGTATCTGTTATTAGTCATTATTTAATCATTGAAAAATATGTATTGAAAAATATGTTAGTACCAGTGTGAGAGGCTTCTAGCTCAAGACAGCCAGTGTTTTTACATGGAAAACATGCATCAGTTGAATAAACAAACCAGAGGAGTAGGATGGACAACATGGCAGTCTAAAAAGGGATATTTCCAGTTATAATTAGTTGTATACCAAGTTTCACTTGGCTTTCAGCCTGCCTGTTCTTATCAGCAAGAAAATCCTGCTCCAGGATTTAGCATGTATTACTATGTGAGAAGAAGTAGAAAACAGTAACTGGTAACCAACTATTTGAGCAGGTTACTCAGTCAATGGTGAAGTAAATCTTTCCTAGAAGAGTTAGAGATAGAAATAGTATGTTTTAATCACTTGGTGACAGTGGATAGTCCTGAGGAAAAAAGGGTCATTCCTCTGTTTATAAGTGAAATGTTTGCTAGAGAACAGGCAATTCCTACTGATTTGCAGTAGGACATTGCTTTTGAGACAGATGCAATTTTTCTGGATTTGTTCTTACAAGACAGATTTAATTACCCATGTGAAATGCTGTTGCTGAAGGACTAATACCATCAGCAGAAGCAGGGGCCTGTTCCTGCTATCATTTGCTTTGATGCTGACATAATCACAAAATGTGTTAAGGGGAGATCAAGATCTGACGTTTCACCGGTAGAAAGCTTTAATTCTAGGCTGCAACTCCTCTTTGGGATTTTTCAGTCAATCTTAGCCACCACATAAAATTTAAATTGGCTTTATGATGTTAGCAGTGATGCTACCTTTAAAACTCTTCTGAAAGGTGGGTTTCTGATTACCTGCTGCCTTACTCATCATGTAAGAATGCCAAAAATTTACCTGTGTGAGAAACCTTGGA